CACATGGTTGCCAGGTTGACAAAGATAATTAGCACATTTAGCAGATATTTCCGTATTGCGCAAGTGGGAAGCTCTGTTTCGGGGATTACGTCTCTTTATATCAGGCAACCCAGTTGTTTTCCTCTGCGGCCAGGTTAAACCTTGTTGTAGCCTATATATGTTCTATTCATTCTTTTTTAGAAACCTCGCACTTTTCTACTCAGTTTTAAACGTTGTACAATTTTAAACAAATTAAGTGTGGTCCACTGCTGCACACGTGCCACAATATCGATACAGGGCCAGCTGTATCGATACTCGTATCGTCAAATCTCTGTGACGATACATCGTCGTATCGATATTTTGAACACAGCACTAGTAACTACATTGGTTAGGTTTAGGGGTAGGTTCAGGGTTAGTACATAGTTATTACCCAGTTATTGTAATTACTTTAACAAATACATCATATATACATGTGGACTACCACTGTAAAATAAAGTGCTACCATTTTAATCAGTATGTTTTTGCAGCAGTCATTTTTTCACTCGTGTCACTTATAGTACATAAGCTCACAACTCAGCTAAAATATATCTGTATTTTTTTGGTGGCACTACAGATTTGGATAAATAATGGTGCAGGAAATACTGATACACAGTTCTTTTTACTATATTTGTTTATCCTTCTCATTCTCACCATCTGGTAAAAAAGTCTGCTCTATTTCTTGATCTATTACTTGGTATTACATAAATCATAATGTTTGTTACTGAAATGTAGGCAAATTAATAATTTGTTCTCCTCTGTATGTAATTAATTTTTTATGGTAAACATGCAGATTATTTAATCACGCATATTTAAACAAACTAACGAATATCATGATCGGAATAGATCAGTGTCAGTAATCTAGGTGTCCGCTTGGTCTGAACATGTTTTGTTTTGCTCATGTTTTTCTCTTTTCTGTTTCTCTCTTTCTCACCAGATGGTCACAAGAACAAAGAAAATATTTGTGGGTGGATTATCAGCGAGCACAGTCGTTGAAGATGTGAAACAGTATTTTGAACAGTTCGGAAAGGTAAGACCAGGACATCACTCCCTACTGATATTCCAGTATGAACATCTTCAGATTTCCATGCCTAGGCAAACACAGACTCGCTCATGTCTGCTCATGTGTTTGTTACAGTGCAATGTTGGAAATGAGGGCACAGGTGTGTGAAGGCGGTGTGGCTTATTCAGGAAACTGTTGTTGGTGTTTTCAGTGATGTTGAAACTTACAGGCTGTAGAATGAAGTATTTATATCCAGACATTTACTGCCAAGTAGCTGACATTGATTAAAACCTGCCTGGGAGCGGGGCTAGGATGGTTGTGGGTTGAGTTTGAGTGTGTGGCTATGGCTAGGAGCAAACTGAAATGAGTAGGGGTGTAATTTGAGTGCATGGCTAAGGCTAGGATTGGATGTTGGGGATGGAGTTTGGGCTGGGAGTGGGTGGGGTTTGAATTGTAGGTGTGGCTAGATTGTCGTGGTTAGACATCAGAATGGAGTTGGACTGTATTTTTATGTGGATATTGTTGTCATAGTTATGGAAATTTCAACTCTGAATAAAAGACTGCAGGCTGTTAATATTACCTGTCTGCTTATATGAAAAAAAAATGAATCTGAGTGTAAATATTCACCACAACAGCCACAATCATCATGGTTGAGCAGGACTTGATTGACTTGATTATATGAGACAAGCTTTTTTAGCTTCTCGTGGAAGATTTTAAGAGCACAAACAAATCAGTGTGATTGAACATGTCATCTGAAATAAGAGCCCTTCTCTTTCTCTCTTTCTCTCTTTCTGTTCTCCCAGCTCTCTCTCCATTTTCCACAGGCTGGGAAAAGGCTCTCTTTCAGGCTCTCTTTCTCAGGTGGATTTCTATGTTTATTAAATAAACTGGCCCTCCGCTGTACACTGCCATTATCTCTGTGTATAGCCTGTGTTATACTTTCCGCATGAGCAATCCGGACGCGTACAAGGACAGCGCGGACGCGGACTACTTGTATTTATACTACCGAAAGCATACGCTGATGGTCCGCTCCGCGGACGTGCTCCATACATGCGCAGTAGACCGGCTTGAACAGGAAACAAACATGTGAACAAACAATTGCCCACAGTTATCTGGCTGTCTTTATCTTGTTTTATCGACGGATTGTACAGGTTCGAGTAGCAACGGGCTTATTCACACAGCATGCGCAGTTGGTGCTTTTGAAGCCTACTGACCGCGCGGTCACAAAAAATGGGAGGCACGCGGATGTCCGCGCACACTCTCCGATGACGATTTTTACGTCACGCATACCCTAGCGGACTCGCGCACGCGGAAAGTATAATACGGGCTTATCTGTGCAGCACTGAGACTCCCGCAGACAGGAACCCGGTACTTAGTGTTTAGAGAGAGAGAGAGACAGCGGTCAGGCAATTCACATCTCAATTGGACATGTTTGGAATTTCTTAGTGGACTTAAATGCCATTACTCGTGTGTGTGTGTGTGTGTGTGTGTGTGTGTGTGTGTTTAAGTTTAGTTGTCTCTGCATGAATGTGGTTTATGTGCTTCAGTGATCAGGGTGAGTTTGTGTATGTTTCTAATTTTGTGTGAGTGTGTGTTTTAGGTAGTTGTGCCAGTTGGTTAAGAGCTGAAAGGAGGAAACAGGTGGTGATTTCAGTTTTCTTACCTCTTTCAGGGAAAACACTGCAGAATAAAGGTTTCAGTGTTGCATTGGCTAAACAAATCTCACCATGGAGAACATGCATGTTTTTGACTTCTGCCCTTTATAGCCTCTTTCTAATTTACATCAAGCTAAAGAAATATTTCACTCAAATATTTTTAATTTTCTGAAAATCAATTACCCTCATGCCATCCAAGATGTAGATTTGGAGAAATTTTGCATTACATCCCCCACCATTGGATCCTCTGCAGTGCCGTTAGAATAGTCCAAACAGCTGATAAAAACATCACAATAAACAACAAGTAATCCACATGATCCTCCAGTCCAATTAACATCTTGTGAAATGAAAAGCTGCTTGTTTGTAAGAACAAATCCATCTCTTGTGTGTTATGTGCGCACAAGCAAATCAGTTGTTGGCTGCAGTGAATTTAATGTCCACAGGTGTCGCTAATAACAAGCGTTTCTGAATTCTCTATATAGCCTCTTTAAATTTAGTGTCTGTTCTGGTTAATTAGTCTGCACTTTTTGGTTTTAATACTGGTTGTCCATTGTAATGGAAGGATAGAAGCGGAGCAGACACTGAGCACAAACACTGATGTACTTCAAGCAGGTGTGTGCTAGGGGTGTGAATCACCAGAGGCCTCACGAAACGATACGATATTATCACGATACTTGTGTCACGATACAATATTATTGCGATTTTAAATATATTGCGATATTCTATCATTTATTTCTGATATTCTAATGTCCTCAAAGGAAAACTTTGGCAACATCTGTTTTAACTAAAAAGAAACATTTCTCAGTTATCTCACTTCAATTTTATTGCTGCAGTGCAAAATGCGATTGTCAAGCAGACAAACTGACCAACACTTTCATGAAAACCTGTCATATATGTTGTATGCACCTGGCAAACTCAACTATTTGTATTATAGTCTAGTCTAGTCAACCTTAATTAAATTATTATTTATTATTTTATTAAATAATATAAAGTAATTTTGTAAGACTTTTTAAATTTAACTCCATTTTAATGATACTGAATTTAAAAAAACACAAGCCAATAAAATAACCACACTTTTACTGAAAGTAACACAATAAAACTGGACAGAATTTGCATATATTAATATTGGTAACACTTTACAATAAGGTTCATTAGTTAACATTAGTTAACTACTTTAGTTAACGAACTAAGAATGAACAATAGTTCTTGGGCATTTGTTAATCTTAGTTCATGTTAATTTCAACGTTTACTAATGCATTATTAAAATCAACAGTTGTGCTGGTTAACAGTTAATGCACTCTGAATTAACATGAACTAACAGTGAACAACTGTATTCTCATTACCTAACATTAAGAAAGATTAATAAATACTGTAATAAATGTATTGTTCATTGTTCGTTCATGATAGTTAATACATTAACTAACATTAACTAATGCAAACAGGAACAAGTATACTGCATAGAAATTTCCTGTCAGCGCATTATTTGAGCGAACTTTGCTTTTCCGGTGAGCATGAGCGGTACATGAGCGGAACGCACATTCATAGAGCAGAATATTGAGCGGAGCGTCAAACCACGCAGTGAAGAGGAGAGTGAAACCTGCGTGTTGAACACTGCCAGGCGGGGCACGGCGCATCATATATATAAATTTATTATTATATGTAGCCTATATTTTCGGCTCGCATTTTCTGCCGTTTTCCTCTTTGGCATTTTCGGTTTTCGGCCGACAATTTTCGGCTGCCGAAAATTCGGTGCATCCCTACTTGCTACCTTGTTTACAAATCCGAAGTAAGTCCATACATCCGATTTAAATGCGGACGGGGCTTTCCTGATAACTTTCCGCGATGCCGCCGTCTTTATTTTACTAACTTACTGCATGCTGAAGGTGACCCAGCTGACCTCAACAGAAAAAAACTCAACACCACCATCTAGTGGATTGTAAAGAAATTGATTTTATTATTCTACCAAATAGTATAATAAAAGATCGATACTTGGCGTCCGTGTATCGATACAGTATTGCCGAGGAAAATATTGCGATACTATGCTGTATCGATTTTTTTCCCCCACCCCTAGTGTGTGCTCAGACAGGGAAGAGAACATACACAAGTGTGTACTAGGGATGTAACGGTATGAAAATTTCTTATCACAGTTATAGTGACCAAAATTATCACGGTTATCAGTATTATCACGGTATTGTTCAAATGTGCTGAAGATGTTCAAAAAGTACCGACACATAAATAACTTCAAGTTTTATATTTAAAAATCAACAAACAACAAATAAAATGACTTTTTGTTTGCATAATCACTAAAACAATAACATTACCAATGATGTTCGGATTTTAAATGACAACTTGACTGACAACAGTTTAATAGCATGTTGAAATATCTAATGTAAATTAGGGCTGGGACGATAAATCGATGCAGAATCGATTCGTGGATCGATTCTTAGCTTTTCAGAATGCATCGCGATTCCTCTGGAATCGATTCTGAGCTTAGATTTAACAGCAGATGGCACTCTAATCTAGTTTTTATCCGCACACTCAAATGCTCATGAAGAAGAGTGCTAAAGAGCGCTTGTGCGTTCGGCTGAGTCATGTAATTTCACCTCAGCTCAGAATGCTTTTATGACACGAGATTAATGTAAACACAGCCCACTGTGAATACCTTTGTAATTTGCTTCAACCTTTTCGAATTTTATGAATGATTATTTTAGGTTCAAGTGTGTGTAAGGATTTGGAAACAAGCAGAGTACGGCAGTTTCTAAAGCATGCAGCGCCGTCTGCTGTTCAGAACTAAGCTCAGAATCGATTCAAGAAAGAATTGCGATGCATTCGGAAAATCTCAGAATTGATAATTTCTCGATTCTCGATGCATCGATTTATTTTCCCAGCCCTAATGTAAATGTTAAAAAAAAAAAGCTTTGAAAAAGTTTCAGAAAAAGGTAAACCTCACATTTCAGCCTTTAAATAAAGAAAAGATATGTCAAAATGATAATTGATTAATAAATGATTATATGTATTTTATCTGCTCCATAAATAATTCTAGATAACTTATCTGAATTGTTTAAATGTGTAGAATCCACATAAGCTTGTTTTTCATCAACCGGTCAAAATTTACAGCAGGGCATGCAAATTCGGTCCGTTTTTGGCCAGACAGAAACCGCACACAGACTGAATGTAAATATA